ACGTGCAAGGTGAGTGGGTCGACAGCTGCAGATGCCACTTTGTCGATCAAAAGTGTATGGGAACGGGGCTGGAGGATTGTGTCTTTTCCATAGTCCGCCCGCGCTATCCTCAAGGTGCAGCACTTCCACAGATACCGAGGTCCCGCCGCGAAACACACACACTTGCGGGTAGAGAATAACCAAAAGGGAGAGTGTGCACAAGTAGCACGCCGGGCTGTGATCAGGCAGTGGCTGGCCGTGTAGTGGAGTACGGAGACTGCATCCGAGTATTATTAGTCTCCACCCCCATTGCCCCATTCCACTGCACTTTCGACCGAAGAAAGTGGCGCTCTACTGCAACGGACCCATTCACCTTGCACATGGCAGGACCAGGAATCATGGAGGCGAGCGTGCATTTTGTCCTTGAACGAAGTCGGATCTTTGTGAGCCGTTAGTCCCACAGTTGGCAGAAACCTAGAGCTGCATAAGATATGAGCCCGCTCGTAGGCAGGATTGATCTGATAGCCCATGCTACTAGCAAGTCAATATGTTAACTTTTTTCTTCCACTATTTCACTTTTTTCTTCCTTTAACTTTTTTCAGAGTACTATGGTAAATCTTATTTTTCTCTACACAAAACCATAAATGGAAAGATCCAGAGAAGCAATGCAGACCTGGTTTTGCAACAGCGGTGTTCTGTGTTACAGCTGAGAAATCCAAGATGAGGCAGCGCGGCGACAAACCGCTTCAAGCGGCATTAAGGTGTTCGCGCCAGGACCTAATTGGTTTGATTGTGGAAATATTCATGCACTAGGCTGCCAAGAACGTTTGTTTTTTGTTGCTTCGGTTGTCGACAACATGAGAATTGCTCAAAGCTTTTACATATTATCCTACGAAACCTAAATAGTATTCAAAAGAAGAAACCAATGATTTTTCTTCATCTTTTGGGTGCATATATCGCTCTTGCTTTTTTAAGAAGTGGGAGCATGTGATTCAAATTGGTAAAAGCACATTTTGCGATAAAACGAGGCTAAAATCTTCCAAATGAAGCACTTGATGCGCTAGGCGATTGTGGAAGCTGTGCTACCTTTGAAAAGTGAAAATTGACAAGAACTCCGCTGTAAGCTGACCAATTAGGCCCATGCTGTCCCCGTGTCGTGTTTAGGGGGTCAAATAACCTCCAGGAATGGCAAATCTAACAAAATCTGAGAATTTCAAGCTCAACCCCATCTCAACTTCGAAAAAAGTTGAGTTGGGTAGTTACTCCGTTCAGGGAACCGTTCCGCAAATTCAGAAGGTAGATTTGGGTTCTCTTAAAATGCGTACAACGGTGTGCACCTCAGTGCAAATGGTCGGGCAGACCTGTTGACCTTTCCTGGTTAGAATTTAGAGGAGGGGGGGGGTGCGAAAACCAGCACCTGTCCTGTATACTCGACTTGAACTTGTGACTAAAGTCCATTGCCTTGCGACGTTCTGTACATCGGTAAGGCTAGTCACAACTGGTATTCGCTTTAAAAACAGTTCCCGCAATCAAGTGATCCACGAAATGCCTTATGATAAGTTCAGTATTATGGACAGAGTCCGGTAACCAAAGCGGCATCCAGTATGCTGTAGGTCCATTCTCGTCGCATACATAACATTCACACTTCCACTAACATATACAGGGGGGGGGGCAAAAAAGCACTTTTCTTCCTTGACTTTCAGGGCGCTATAAGTTACACTTAATTGAATTCTGATGGGACATTTCCACCACCATATTCAACAGCCTTCTGGAGAGCGCCATCGAGAGATTCTGCCACGCGACCGTGATTCGGTGCCTGAGTTCAGCGAGATCGTTGATTTCTCCGCCACTGTAGACCACCCTGTTGAGCTCCGCCCGAACCGGGTAATTGAGGGGGTTTAGTTTAGGTTTAGTTTTGCTTGCGCAAAAAAGCCAACTGTCAAAAAAGCCAACTGTCAAAAATGTTGGGCCATCTTTAGAGCATCGAAAAAAATGTAAAAAAAAGTCCATTATATACTCGTGTTGATAGCCTCGACTATGCTTTGGAAAGCCACCACCCTTGCCCCAAAGGACTAATTATCACCACCTATGTTCTCAAATGCTGAATGCAGTGTAGCGACAAGGAGTGACGCTAACACCTCTACGACCTGAAGATCGCTCCTACCTATGTCATGCATACCATATACCTTCATGAGCAGCTAGTTGATGCTAGCCTGTCTAAAAAGAAGCATACTATCAATCATGAACATTATAGACTTGCACAAGTCATTGTATACACTGTAAAGAATTTTAGCCGCAGTTCGGCTTGGTGGGGCACCAAAAAGTTCTCAGAGAAGCTTGTATGGGACACATTCTGAAGCTTTGAATTGTAAAAAATTTGAATTTTTGTAAAGAAAAGAGTCTCAATTGTACCAACTCGCAGCTTCCCAAGCGTTCACAGTTCCTGTTAACCACCTCAATACACGAACTAGCAAAAGGAACCGCCAGAGCAAAAATGCTTCGCGCCCTCCAGCGCAACAGCGTCGAAGTACCACTGCAATCAGGGCACACATGGCTATGAGAAAACTTGCCGCTCAGTACAGCCTCCGCCACCTTCGGTCGCGAATTATTCTTTACAACTCCGAACAAATCTGCTTGCAGGGTACAGCACGTTTGTGCGCACCTTTGGGGAGGGGGGGGGGGTCCGTACTGTCGCTCTGGAGGGAGGGTCGTAATCTCAACGATCAGCTCAGAGCCGGCAAATGCTTCGACATTTCAAAGTTATATAAAAAAGGATGGAGCTTTGTGGAAGTCAAGATGTAAAAAAAAATGAAAATAATACGATGATTCCTCTACAGATTCAACTGGCTCTGTTTAACAGCCCTCTTCTCATCGAAACCCCACAAATGGGTCGAGTACTTGGCGCGCGGGACGTGGGAGTATCGCAAAACTAGGCTGCGCAGGCAATCCAGTAACAGTCCAAGAGTGTCATTGCTAAGTTGATGGAACGAACGGAAAGCTGCAGAAGACCCGGATGTAAGGAGGACTACAGAAAAAAAATAAAAAAATTGTTAGCAATATAGCAAGAATAGCAAGAGTAAATAAACTATCATTCATACATGAACTCGTAAGTACGTAGATGACTAATACGTCTCAAACAGATTCGTGCGTATTGTCCTTTCCAAACCCTAAACAAACATCTGCTTGCATGGATAAAAGCACCTGAAATCAGAATTTACACCTTTCCACCTCTGCGTAGGAGCGTAATGCACGGCGCACACTCGGACCAAATCGATCAGTGATAGCCGAGCTCCTCTTTCACTCATTCGAGAGTGAGAAATATGTGTTTTGAGGCACACTGAAAGTTTTCGAAGGTGTATCCTCACAATGGCACAGAAGGAGTCGATTTTTCGGGTGGGTCAGAGGGTAGCGCGTCTGTGACCCATCTAAAATATCTCCTGAACTAGTGGGTCTTCAGAAAAACTGTAAAGCTATTGGAAAGAGAAAAGATAGGGCGGTTTCAAAACGATTTTAATCCGATGGAAATTCGTGTCGAAATAAGAAATCCTCGTTAAGCATAAAAAACCGCTCGTGTCATATTTACCCCTAGCGACGAAACCTGCTATCTCTCCGAAAATTTCACGAACGGGGAAAAACTTTTCAGATGGCAACGTGGGTAAAAAGCAGCAGTTAGGAGCATTCCCGTTGCATGCTGCTAACCATTCGTCAAAAGCCGCGCCCTTCAAAGAGATATAACCCCCGAAAAGACCCCAGGACGTTGGCAGGTCCAAACAACCGCGCTCCAATGACGTTTTTCCAACGAAAGCGGTCGCAGCCTCGCCGATCGATGATAGCCAGGTATACGAAAACGATATATCTCCCGCCATGTATCCTTTTTTATATTGGGATCCGCATTTCTTGTATTTTCATCGTTTTTTGTTGTTCGTGCCTGTTTCATTAGTCTCTGCCAGTCACCTGTTCATTGAATGCACATCTGAGGTTGACACGTGCGACCCTTGATGCTTATTTTTCACCAGTTAGCTTATACAGTGATTACCATTAGTCGCGTGTTTGGGATTTATTCCTTATTACAAGGCCATGTGCATACATCGTGCGAACGAGGAGTTGATTTGAATCCTTAGATAAATTGTAGGAATGCGAGGTGCTGTGTTCATCCTCATATTGCATGAGGCTGAAACAGCCTATTATTGCCTGGATTTTAAAAGCAGAGGTCCGCCTTTCAAAATCCAGATTCCATTTCAGGAAGCCATTTGTGGTGAACATGCATCTGGTTGTCAGTTAGAGCAGGAGAGGGGGGGGGGGTCGTATCTGGACCCTGCATTTGAGGAGGCCGGGGAGGGGTCGTATCACTCCGCCTTCGCACATCCCAACTGCTGTACCGTTCTGCTTGGCTTCTTGGCGTTGTGTCGCTGCTTGATGTAGTGGGTAACACCCTTCTAGTACTTAATTGATTTTTACCTTCAAAAAATTGTTGTTTGTGAAAAAATGTTCATAATGTATTTATCAACAAATTATAATATCAACTCAGAGATCCCGATGATGGCGCTACTGCGGTGGGTGACGAGTAGCCGTCTCAGAAGTTGTGAAAGACATTTATTTGCAAAGCAGATGATATGTTCTGTGAATAGTGATTAGTCCAATGAATAAGAGGGCTGCAAGATGCACAGGGATCGCATTTGCGGCTGGAAGATATTCGGTGAAGATGCTACGCAGATCATAATGATCATGAATGATAAGCCAAATACCCAGAAAGTCCAGAGAGGTTCACCACATCAAAGAATGACTAGGGTCACCAGAAACATCTCTAGTCAACAACGTTAGAAATCACAAACGGTGGGGGTCGGATGGAGTCTACGGGATGGACGGCCCGTCGAACACGATCATAAGGGAAAGGAGGCAGATCGCCAGAGGGTGAGAGGTCCCGTCTTCGATATAGCAGATTCAGTGAATTAGAGCTCATTGGTGACAGCCGTATTTACACAGAAGAAACGGTCGCTGTTGGGAAAAAAAGCGTACACGATTCAAACAGTTGAATCGACACTCGAGGCTCGATTCATGTACTTGGAGACAGAAGCAGGTCGATCTGTCTCGCTAAGCATCGGGTCGTGGTTAACGCCATAGATCTTGATCGCCTTTCGTCCCATTCGTTGCAGTAGCTCCGATGAAACCTTGTGTGCGGTTCGCAGTGAAGTGTGCCATTCCTTCAGTGAGATCTCATCCTAAAACAAGTTGTATTAGGAATAAATCAATCAACTAGGAATAATACTGCATGTATTTAACAAGGATTCAGCAACATTCGCGGAATTGGTCCACACAAGAATGCCGAGTTATGGACAAAAGACTCTAGCGGACGAGGTCCGAAAGCAAGTCGTGAGCTACTATGCGCTTCTTCAATCGCTTCCGCCTTCCGCTTTTCAGCCAAAATTTCGACCCCCCCTGACGAAAACGAGGCTTAGGTAAGTACCAACCTCGCTTTCGAGAACAAAAATACTGACTTGAAAACCGACTGAACCCCGCAGTTTATTGTATAGGCCATATCGCACTCGAAAGGTCTCTGTGTGCCGATGTATGATGGAAGTAGAATAACGCATCCCAGAGAGGAAATTGATCAACGCTGGAGCTTATCCATTGAGTATGCGCTCAGACTGCACTGGTAACGTTGATTTCAATATGTACGCTCCATTCCGATATAACCTAAAAACCCTGGTCTGACACTGTAAGGCAAATGGGGATAACTAGCGCTCGTTCACCCAGTTGCCAAGGAAATGCCAGCCATCAAAAGAAGGCATAGCTAGCCGCGTCAATGCAATCCATCATCTTTCTTGAAACGCTTTCAAAAGTGCTCTAGTTGCCACTTTTCAAGTACATTCTCTCATATGTCAGCGAGTTTGAGCGGTTGTCCAGCGCGAACTATGCCATTAACTCAGTGTTCTGATTGATCCGAGAATAAGACGTACTCAAGTCCCCACGGGCTAAACTTACCGAATTCGTCAAGCTAATTCTTGGCTCTTTGAATCCATCCCGTAATTTCACCACAATAGCGTTCTCTCCCTTGACCGTATGTAAGTCAGCGCAAACGTCTTCAATTTGATCCATGAACACCAGCTAAAAATCATGGTATCATCGAATTCAATCGCATGGGGTCTTATCAGAGGTGCTCACCTCTGGCTTTCCACTCAAAGATTCTGGGTAAAGTTCAAGTCGCGACGGGTAGAGTTTGCCATATCGAGTTTGCCATGCTGATGTGAACGGACCACCGAGCTTCTTGATATAGCCATGAACAATTACATCAGAATCTGGAAAGCACCAGTAACTGGTCGGGAAATCCTTTACAATGTCTTGACTATTGCAGTAGTTTCGCCATAAAAACTTTTCTACATGAAATTACAGAAGTATGGGGAGGAAACGGTGTTATGGCAATTTACCTTTCTCGTCAACATTCATTTTTGCCTTTTGCTTCGATCGCTTCTTGGTCTCAGCTTTGTCGGCATCCTGATTTGCACTGAATTTCCATTGTGACTTCACCAACGCCAAATAAGTTTGCCAGAAGGTAATGGAAGATGTACTAATGCGCAGGTGAAGTTTGCAAAGCAAAAATGTGAGGCCTTCGACACAGCAAACCAGCACTGAACCTAGTCACACCTAGGCTCATGACAGCGGAGCCAAAGTCGAATCGGAACGGTTCTGGCGCAAAAACATACTAACGGCCCTTCACAGTATACCGTAACGTTTCGTAGTTTCTCATAATAGGCTAAGGGCGTAGCGGTGCGCCGTAATGTTGCGCCGCTTACCACGAGCACCATTGATGGTCAAGTTCCCGATCCCTCAGTCCAACCCAACCTTCCATCCCTCCGGCGCCGGCTAAGTGGTGTCACCGTCGTTCGAGAGAATAATAGCACTGGTTTTTACATCGGCTAGCCAACTTAAGTCATTATGTTGAAACCAAATCTACTGAAGGAGCTATTGGGTCCAGATTTCCGGTCTCACAGCGTATATGAAACGACCTCTTTCGCAGATTCAGTATTAGGAGAGCGGGGCGGGCGGCGGGGCTGCGGCTTCCACTCAATGCGAGTGTGAGATTTCAGTAGAAGGAGTCAGGATCGATGGGAGCTTTGATTCGTTAACCCCCACATCAAGACAACCGCTTCCGCCCATTGAACCACTCGTTGTTTCCTTCCTCTGTTCAAAGAGTGGCTCGCCCTAAGTCTCTAGAATTGTCCCATATTGCGTGTTCACAGTGAAACTCTGTGCCCTCTGCTAGTGTAGCTCTGACGCCCTCGCTAGTTGTACGCCTCACCGACGAAACTCAACGCTTTTCTGCGAGTTCAGCCCCAATACATCCGTCTCATTTTTCACTATTGTAGACGCTATACATTTATAGCATTGTATAGTCATGTATAGGACGGTTGAAGAAACAATCAGTGAGCCAGAGACGGCAGGTTTCGCTATGCTGGCTCAGAATTAGCAGGTCTATAGAACATTGCTATGAGAGGCTGTCAGACCGTACCTCACGATATTCTTATAGATTCTATAATATTTTGTTTTTTTTACTCGCCAGCAGTCATATAGCGACAGGGTCTGTAAGAACGCCACTACCCGCAATACGCGACTGCGAGGCGGGCGGGTCTTTGACGTGGTCACGATGGTAAGAGAGTAGTTCATATCACTATCAGTGAATCCGGAGGAACTAATACCCTGCCTTCTAGATAACTCATCGACGGCTTCAAAATCCTTACGGTTAGACGCAATTCGGCTTAGGAAAGAAACAGAAAAGAAAAAGTAAAATGAAAACCATCTGGTCTTACCTCGAAAATAGTCTCTGCAATTTCGTTTTGCCATCGTTCCGATATGACAATGTTGAAATTCTTATAGAGATCGCTGTCGGAGTCAGCCAGCTGAAATAGTTCAGTCAGTCTTCGAAATCAGCTGAAAATCAGTTAAAATGTCATAAAAGGTCTTGCACCGCAGAAAAACGATACACAGCTTTACAGTAATCGAAAACATTATCATTTATTAGTGATCAGCATTCCTTGCGAGTAAATGAGGTACACCACACGCTGCTCGGTTGAGCGGAGTGAGATATACAATTGCCTCTCACCAATGTGCGCCCTTCGTCGTTATCATATTAGAAAGTAGAGGGGCACCAATGAGGGAGGCGCAAAGGAGCACCAGCATGCTCCGCCTCTATGAAGGACGTGGAAAGTGTCTGATTTGTTTTTCGCTTCACTGAATGTGAAAGCTATCCATTTAGCTTAGTATCAGGGAGGGAAAACATTATAGTTAGCTGGCTTCAAGAACATCAATCTTGCTCATGATGCATGCGCTGAGGGACATAGCTGCCCATTTATCTCCACCAGCACGCACAATTCAAAAATACGCTGCACACTTCGATCCTGGTCCCTGTCATATGCGAGGTGAACCAGTCTGCAGGTGAACTGTGCCTTTCTCGTCACAGTTGTTGTTTCCTACTCTTGGACGCGATGTCAGCACCGACACATCCTGCAGGTGGACGTCTTGTGAACATCAGAGGAGACCCAAACGGCATGGAGTACAGAGTCGATACGCCTAGCACGAAAGAATATTGTGCTCCTTAGCAGGCGCTGGGTGACGCCTTTCCCAACCAAGGGCACCTTTAGGCTGCGTTTATACTTTGCGGCAGCGTAGCGTAGCGCTTCCAGCGTACGCCAGCGGCAGTGCCGGGGAGAGGATGCATATCGATCTAGCGTTCCCAGCGTCACCAGCGTAACGCTAGCGTACGCTAGCGTTAC